TGCATAATTTACATATGAAAGTATTGCTATTCTAATTTTAACATTTACATTTCACTAAACAACATACAGGGGAGACATGTGTCTGTAAGATCAGCAGTTTAATGGCTATTATCTTTAAAACTACAAAAAAAAAAAATGGCATAAGCAAGACGAGATCTACAAATAAGACAACATGGACTAACTCCTTTACCCATCATTTTTAGTGGTAACTATTGCAAATAAATATCTGTTTTATTGTGAAGATTTAAAGATGAAAATAAACGAAAAATGATAGAATTTTTACATACTTTACCAAAATGTAGTATATATCAGGGGCGGATTCAGCCATTTTTAAAGGGGGAGGGGGTTCCAACCATATGTCCCCATTCAAAAGCATTGATCGTCAAAAAAGGAGGGTTCCAACACCCGGACCCCCTGGATCCGGCACTGAATATTGTGATATGTTCATGATTATAAAAATGGTAGGTCAACAAGCTTTTTTTTAAGCTACAGGTTGTGAAAAGTGGCACATTTTGTATGGATTATGAAAGGAAAACATCATTATGTGAATGATGGGTAAACTAAATGATAGAATTGTGAAATAAAATATGAGAAGATAGGTCTGAGAAAATAGAATATCCAAAGAAAAAATGGGGTCAATGTACGTTTTTTCGTGCTATAACATACAGTAGAAAAATTTCAGGTATATTACTTAAGAAATTATACTATTTCTGAGATACCTCCCCTTAATACCATAATTAAGAAAAATTGAAATCAAGCAATATAATCTCATCTTTGTGGAAATATAATTTATTATAAGTTAAATTCACAAAAATGTGTTCATTTAAAAAAAAAAAAAACAATATTTGATAGCTTTTCTGCACCAAATTTTGCTGGCTTGAAAATCTACACCTATTGTGTTCTGCTATTTTACAATCCAAGATGGCGAAAGACACCCATACTACCTTAAAGAAAATCTGACGGTAAAAATGAAACAGCACCTACCTTGATAAATTTAGAAAAATCTATCCACCTTTTTTGGAGTTATTGCCCCTAAAATGTTAATGTATAACTTTCTTGCTTATCTTGACTATTGTTTTAAAATCTTTTTAGGAAAGTTAAAAGTGAAAAATGCAAAAAAAAAATATTCAGCATGGTAAGTTCTATCTACCTGAAAAATTATAGAAAAATCTGAATACCCCATATGAAGTTATTGACCCTGAAATGTAAGTTTTTACTCATTTTCATTTTTTTGCTGTATTACAGAATTTAGAAGCTAGGTTAAAAGTAATCATCGCATTAAAAAAAAAAACAGCACAACAAGATATATTAACCCTGAAAATTTTCGAATAATCTGTCCGCTATGATCAGTTTCACTAAAAAATCTTGCGAATAAAGTTGATTGCAAGCAGAGACATGTGTATATATGTCTCTGTTGCAAGTATACTTAATTGTTTATGACTAACGATCAACTTTATTCGTAAGATTTTTGTGAAACTGATAACTGATCTGCAATTTTGAAAACTATAGGAGCTAGGTTATGGTTAAAATCCCAAAATGATTAGCATGACAATATATATCTAATCTGCAAATTTGCCTATATGTTATAGAGTTACTGTCCAAAGAAATGCTGATTTTCTGCTGCTTTTTTTTTTCTTTTTTTCTTTGTGGTTTTAGTTGTTTTCTCCAAAACTATAGGGGCTAGCTTAAAGTGCTAAAATGATCAGAAAGAATAACTAGTATCTGCATATAAAAGTGCTCATTAGCAAACTGGCCATTTTTCAACAGGTGAGCGATACAGCTTGGAGTTTCCACTACCAAAATATGGACTAAGCCGTTTTTTAATCAGCTTCTCCATGAACATGGCTTTACAGAATTGCACCAAACTTATCAAGACAAACTTGTGCCCCTGCTATTTTAATTTATAATTTTTTAGTGTTTCATCAGTCACAATTATACTTGTTTTAATATTTGGAGACGGTAAGCGACAAATGTATTCCTTAAAATGCTGCACATTTTATATTTGCCTGAATCACAAGCAGCACTTGCAGATCTAGTATGTGCTCCAATCTATTTCTGTCCGAATATTTTAAATTATAAATCATTTTTCTCTAAATTATCTTGCATTTAAGTCACAGAAGTCATAACTAGTACATTGAACGATACCAATTTTAATGCAACAGATGTGCATTTCAACAATTAATGTTTTCAGTGATACTCTTAGGCCAAAAATTTCGAAAATCTATTGATCGGAGTTATTTTACCAGGATTAGGCATCATCTTCGGTAGCTATACATGCCAGGTCCACAGCATTTGGTAAATGCTTGTCCGACATGTCATACGACCTTGACTTCATTTCAGGCTTCAGTTATGTTTTCAGCATTGGGTATAATCCTCAGTTACTATGCATGACAATAATATTTGTTGTAAGCAGTACACACCCTATGGTATATAACCTGACCTTATAAATTATATTCATCAGTAACTATGAATGACAATGATACTTGTTGTAAGCAGTACATACCCCATGGTATATGACCTGACCTTGGGTATATTCTTCAGTTACTATTCATGGCAATAGTATATGTTATGAGCAGTACATATTCCATGGTAAATGACCTGACCTTCTTAGGTACATTCCTCAGTTAATATCCATGACGATAGTATATTTTTTTCATAATTTTTGTGAGTGCTACATACCCCATAGCATATGACCAGACCTGAGATATATTCCTCAGTTACTTTGCCTGACTATAGTATTTGTTGTGAGCACTTCATACCCCATGGCATATGACCTGACCTAAGGTATATTCCTCAGTTGCTATCCATGACTATAGTATTTGTTGTGAGTACTACATACCCCATGGCAAATGACCTGACCTAAGGTATATTCCTCAGTTGTTATCCATAACTATAGTATTTGTTTGCGAGTACTACATACCCCATGGCATATGACCTGACCTAAGGTATATTCCTCAGTTGCTATCCATGGCGATAGTATTTGTTGTGAGTACTACATACCCCATGGCATATGACCAGACCTGAGGTATATTCCTCAGTTGCTATCCATGACTATAGTATTTGTTGTGAGCACTACATACCCCATGGCATATGATCTGACCTTTGGTATATTTCTCAGTTACTATCCATGACGATAGTATTTGTTGTGAGCACTACATACTCTATGGCATATGACCTGACCTAAGGTATATTCCTCAGTTGCTATCCATAACTATAGTATTTGTTGTGAGCGCTACATACCCCATGACATATGACCTGACCTAAGGTATATTCCTCAGTTGCTATCCATGACGATAGTATTTGTTGTGAGTACTACATACCCCATGGCATATGGCCTGACCTTGGGTATATTCCTCAGTTGCTATCCATGACTATAGTATTTGTAGTGAGCACTACATACTCTATGGCATATGACCTGACCTAAGGTATATTCCTCAGTTGCTATCCATAACTATAGTATTTGTTGTGAGCGCTACATACCCCATGACATATGACCTGACCTAAGGTATATTCCTCAGTTGCTATCCATGACGATAGTATTTGTTGTGAGTACTACATACCCCATGGCATATGGCCTGACCTTGGGTATATTCCTCAGTTGCTATCCATGACTATAGTATTTGTAGTGAGCACTACATACCCCATGGCATATATGACCTGACCTTGGGTATAATTCCTCAGTTACTATCCATGACTATAGTATTTGTAGTGAGCACTACATACCCCATGGCATATGACCTGACCTTGGGTATATTCCTCAGTTGCTATCCATGGCGATAGTATTTGTTGTGAGCACTACATACCCCATAGCATATGACCAGACCTGAGGTATATTCCTCGGTTACTTTGCGTGACTATATTTTTTGTTGTGCGCACTACATACCCTATGGCATATGACCTGACCTAAGGCATATTCCTCAGTTGCTATCCATGACGATAGTATTTGTTGTGAGTACTACACACCCCATGGCATATGACCAGACCTGAGGTATATTCCTCAGTTACCATCCATGACTATATTATTTGTTGTGAGCACTACATACCCCATGGCATATGACCAGACCTGAGGTATATTCCTCAGTTACCATCCATGACTATATTATTTGTTGTGAGTACTACATACCCCATGGCATATGACCTAACCTTTGGTATATTCCTCAGTTACTATCCATGACTATAGTATTTGTAGTGAGCACTACATACCCTATTGCATATGACCTGACCCTAGTTATATTCCTCGTTTAGTATGCTCGACTATTTTATTTGTAGTGAGCACTTCACACCCCGTGGCATATGACCTGACCTTAGGTATATTCCTCAGTTACTATCCATGACGATAGTATTTGTTGTGAGCACTACATTCTCCATGGTATATGACTTGACCCTAGTTATATTCCTCTGTTGATATGCTTTACTATATATTATTTGTAGTGAGCACTATATACCCCATGGTATATAACCTGACCTGAGGTATATTCCTCAGTTACTTTGCGTGACTACATATCCCATGGCATATGGCTTGACCTTATCACGAGTGAGATGATATTATTACTAGGTAACTTTGCAAGCGAGAATGTAGGGTTTTACTTACTGAAACAGAAACACAAGACAACTAAAAAAAGAAAAAACCAAAAGACATCTTGCATTTTCAATTGACGTGTCATAGGGTTTTAACCTCATGTTCAAACCATAGTGATCTAGATAAAATAATCAGAATTGGGCCTGTTTTAGCAAATTTTATAAAATAAGATACTAGTAACACTATTCAATTTTTGGATATGCTAGTCTTATCTCATTTTCGTGCTCCAATGGACGAGGTTAAACCAATAGTCGTGTGGCTTTGATGTCATTTTTGCATGTTCATGTGGTCAGTATAAACTTACAGCATTTGTGTATGTTCTTAAGCAACTAAGCCACACAGATGGTAGTATTTGTTATACATATATTCAATTAACATGTTGGTCTGACATAATATAGTCTTGAAGTCGAAATAACTGATATAAAAAAGTATAAAATCTTTTATTTGTATCACATATTGCAAAAACAATATTTCTTAATGGAATGATCATTTACACAATTTGATTGGTTGCCATATAAATTTATTCTACTAATATCACTCGCAATTTTTGAAGAGTCGTGGAGTTCGTCATATTTTATAGTGGCCTCAAATCGTCCGTTACCTGGACTTGTCTGGACGATAAGCTGGTAATGTACAAACGAGTTAACTTTGTCGCCGAATGTCACTTTCCTGTTTATAACGTCATTCTTACTTTTCCTAAATCGAAGAATTTCATCATACGGTAAAATCTTCGAGGCACTAAGTACATTTTCTAGGGTCAATCGTGCACAATCTACATATGTTGATAAAATCTGATTTATTGATGTGACAATTCGCTCTCCGAAGTCGCGAATTTTTATGTCTTCAGGAGGTAGAGGTACATTTTTTGCACATGTACACCAATGCGGAAGAATTCCAATTTCAGAGCAGGTGCGCTCATCAGACACCTCTTGAAACAAACTTATTCCCCTTGAAGACGACTGCTCCCGCTGATCGGTTCCAAAGAATAAAACGTCCTGGAGTGTTTCATAGATATCAAATGGTGTTATTAAACGTCTTTCGTTGATGTGGAGACTTTGGCTAATTACTGGATATTTCTTTCGGAACCATTCTGGTAAAACTATAAACAGAAATGGAAGTCTTTCCTCTAATTTTCCAATATAAGTCTCCCTTAGTTTTCCGAATCGCATCCCGTGATCACTGTAAAATATTAGCAGTGTATTGTTAAGCATGTGTTGCTCATAAAGGGATTTCAGATAACTGAAATATGATTCGTCAGCCATGGCTGCACTTTCTGTAGAATCGTGGGTTAATCCAGTGATAAAAGCGAAAGCAAAATATGGATTCTTTTGCATAATAGAAGCAAATTGGAATGTATAATTCAAAATTACATCAGTTTCTAGTCTGTTGACAAGACAGTTATGTTCATTATACCAGAGTTGTTTGTCTTTAGTCATAGCTATGCTAAAATGACGGTTGAAATAGTCAGCTGGTGCTTTATGAAATCCAGCTTTAAGATAATCGAAAATGGCAATTTTTGGAGCATCTTCAGCATATAACGTTCGATATCCACGATCAGAAAACATTTTCCATATAAAGTTGTAACTATCAAATGAAATATCACTAAGTGATTCGTTCCATGGGACATCTTCTAAAAACTTTCCAAGCGTCATAGGAACAATATTGACAAATGTGTTGTCTGCTACTTTATTGTAACCCATCATGTCAAAAGCGTTTAGTCTGTTTGATAAAAAGGCATTTGTCTTTCGCATATATCTTTGAAAATTCAATCTAGAAATGGAATCAACACCAACCATTAAAACATTTAAAGTTTCCGAAACTTTCGCCCTATGTTTTTCGAAAGCTGTCGATTTTACTTTTTCAATATCATTCTTTCGGTAAATAAACTGGTGGTAATTGGTATATATTTTACCATTAGCTCTGTTATAGCATCGAACTCTTACAAATTCATATGGAACTTCAATATACGAATAGAACTTTTTACTGTAGTCGCCGTAGTCAAAATAATTGTGATGCTCCGCTTCAAATGGTCTTATGATTGGTTGATATCGGCAATGTTTGAAGGTATCTTTATGACGTGATTGGTGAATTGCTGTCCAGTTAACTCGCAAAATAGTCCCATCTTCGTAAGTGTATGGAAGAAATTTGTTACAAGAAATTTTCTTTCCAGGCTTCAAAAATTGAACAATTGAAATATCAAATGGTGAAAATAATGGAATTTTACAAGTTGGAGTGTCTACAAGAAAGACAGGTCGTGAGTTCAACTTGGTTGATGGATTTTCTTCATGGTAATTTTTGTGTGGATACGGCGACACATTTGCGTGGTAGAGGTTGTACAGGAATAGAACACAACAGCATAGACATAGGATTTTTAAATACTGTTTTCTTCTCATCGTCTGCTTAAGCAATCTAAAATAAAACAACGAATGGTATCTTTATCTTTAATTGACGGCATTCCGTTAGTACAAATATGTTACGTGTTTTTTTTCAATTTATACAATTACAATTTTCTTCGTGCAATATGACATTTCTATGAAGGCAAAGTTTGTTTGAATGTATTAAACAGCGTAAAAAGCTTTTGATGTAATCGTCAATATATGTATATAGATTAAACTTAGCATGAATGATTATAATCATTACTCTCAAAGAACCAGAATGGAGTTGAAGATGGTCGCCAAGCAGTATTAAAGAAACCTCTTCTAACTGATCAGAAACTACTACTACTAGGGGGTTTTAACGACCTTGGGTACACATGTAGTAAAGGTCGTTAAAAACCCCTCTAGTGATTAGAAACGAATTTGATCTAAAACATCTTCAGATCAGGAGCATATAAACTAAAAGACCCCACCCCACACCTACCCCCACCAACACCCTCACTCTGAACCATCAAAACCCTTTTTTTTAACTGTAAATGTAATATTTGATATATCTTTCTTGTTTGCCCTCCTTGTCTTACTCTCTTTTTCAAACGCTGATAAAATATTTGTTTTGATTAGTTTTTTTTCACAGTTAAGATTCAATCTCTTCAGAACTATTTGTTACACTGTATAAACTCCATTTGAAATTAATGATATTTAAGATTTTAAGAAAAATAAAATGCTCCGCAGGGCGCAGCTTGATACGACCGCAGAGGTCGAACCCTGAACAGTTGGGGGAAGTATGGACACAACATTCAAGCTTGATACAGCTTTGGATTTGGATTGTGATTAAATATTTGACACAGCATAGGTTTCTAACACAGATTGAATGTGGTCTAAGAACTTAAAAATTTTAAATTGGACATTCACCTATTATGGTCCAATATCCAAAATCTAAATACATGGTTAGATTCAGCATATCAAAGAACCCCAAGAATTCAATTTTTGATGAAATCAAACAAAGTTTAATTTTGGACCCTTTTGACCTCAATGTGGACAAAGTTGATAACGGGGCCCAAAAATCAAAAATCTAAATACATGGTTAGATTCAGCATATCAAACCCCATATATTCAATTTTTGTTGAAATCAAACAAAGTTTAATTTTGGACCCCGATTTGGACCAACTTGAAAACTGGGCCCATAATCAAAAATCTAAATACATGTTTAGATTCAGCATATCAAAGAACCCTAAGAATTCAATTTTTGTTAAAATCAAACTAAGTTTAATTTTGGACCCTTTGGACCTTAATGTAGACCAATTTGAAAACGGAACCAAAAATTAAGAATCTAAATACACGGTTAGATTCGGCATATCAAAGAACCCCAATAATTCAATTTTTGATGAAATCAAACAAAGTTTAATTTTGGACCCTTTTGACCTCAATGTGGACAAAGTTGATAACGGGGCCCAAAAATCAAAAATCTAAATACATGGTTAGATTCAGCATATCAAAGAACCCCATATATTCAATTTTTGTTGAAATCAAACAAAGTTTAATTTTGGACCCCGATTTGGACCAACTTGAAAACTGGGCCCATAATCAAAAATCTAAATACATGTTTAGATTCAGCATATCAAAGAACCCTAAGAATTCAATTTTTGTTAAAATCAAACTAAGTTTAATTTTGGACCCTTTGGACCTTAATGTAGACCAATTTGAAAACGGAACCAAAATTTAAGAATCTAAATACACAGTTAGATTCGGCATATCAAAGAACCCCAATAATTCAATTTTTGATGAAATCAAACAAAGTTTAATTTTGGACCCTTTGGACCTCAATGTGGAGCAATTTAAAAACAGGGCCCAAAATCCAAAAACTAAATACACGGTTAGATTCAGCATATTAAAGAACCCCATGAAATCAAGAATAAAACCCCATTGAAATTGGTCAAGAAATAAGCAATTTATAGGAAGTATCTTCTTTTGCACAATCCTGTGCTATTAAATATTTCTTGCTATTGCGCAATACTGTACAATTGACAATTTCTTGCTATTGCGCAATACTGTACAATTGACAATTTCTTGCTATTGCGCAATATTGTGCTATTGGATATTTCTTGCTATTGCGCAATACTGTGCAATTGAAGATTTCTTGCTATTGCGCAATACTGTGCAATTGAAGATTTCTTGCTATTGTGCAATACTGTGCAATTGAAAATTTCTTGCTATTGCACAATACTTATTATATAATAATTTACACATCCTGTTTGGTGTGTATCTCCTACCATATCATTATTATTTGATTTTAAATATAAATCAGAAATAACCAACTTAAAATGGAAAATTTTAAAAGAAACAAAAAAGGAAAAAAAGAAAAAAAAGGAAAAAAAAATAAATCCCCCCCCAAAATTTTTTGAACCCCCATTATGATTCATTACCCCCAAACTCAATCCCAGCCTTCCCTTTGTGGTATGGTACCTTGCAGTACAATTTCAGAGAGATCCATACACTTGAACACAAGTTATTGTCTGGAAACTAGAAAAAAATGTGTTTTTTGGCCCCTTTTTGGCCCCAAATTCCTAAACGTTTAGGGCAATTACCCCCAAACTCAAACCCAGCTTTCCCTTTGTGATATGGAACCTTGTAGTACAATTTCAGAAAGATCCATAAACTTACACACAAGTTATTGTCATGAAACTAGAAAAATGCTTGTTTTTTGCCCCTTTTTTGGCCCCTAATTCCTAAAATTTGGAGGCAATTACCCCCAAAATCAATCCCAGCATTCCTTTAGTGATATGGAACCTTGTGGTACAATGTCAGAGAGATCCATACACTAACACACAAGTTATGTCTGGAAGTTACAAAAATGCTTATTTTTGGTCCCTTTTTGGCCCCTAATTCCTTTACTGTTATTACCATAACCCCCAAAATCAATCCCAACCTTCCTTTTGTGGTATTGAACCTTGTGGTATAATTTCATAAAGATCCATTCACTTAAACTAAAGTTAGAGTGCGAAAACCAATGTGTCTTCGGACGACGCCGGACGACGACGACGACGACGACGACGACGACGACGACGCCGGACGACGACGACGACGCCGGACGACGACGACGCCAACGTCATACCAATATACGACCACAAAAATTTTTTTGCGGTCGTATAAAAATATGTTGGGTATAGGTATATGTCAATGCAGGCAACAGTGAAATTAACAAAACAAGAATCAACAAGCATTCTGAGATTATTGCATGGCAATACATAGTCCCCTACCAGTTGAAAATTCATTGTACTGGAACAAAATGCAATTGATCTATAACTTGTCATGGTGTAAACTATATAACAAATATCAAGTCAATATCTTCAAGCATGACGAAAAAAAGTGTGGAAAACTGATTTGCCGGACTGACGGATGGACAGACAGAAAGACAGACAGATAGACAGACGGACAGAGTGCAAACTTCGTCGGTAGGGGACTAAAAAGACACACATATTAAGCTCAACAATAGTCTTGAACAGCAATATATATCAGTGTCTTTACAACATGTTAAAATCTAAGTCGCGATGAGTCTTTAAATGGTGTGAATGCAAATAACAGACAGTCTCAAATCCTAAAATCTTACTTCAGTACCCCCGAATCGAAAAAGACATTAAAGATATAAGACAAACACATACGATTCGGAAGTTCTCGGTTTAGAAAAAGGACATAACTATTCATCATAAAATAAGAAAGAATAAGATAAGAAAGTAATGCAAAAAATGATAACAAATAATAAAAAAAATGATTAGAATTATAATTCATATAAAAAAAACTATTTTGATCATATTTAATATATCTTTTATTGACATGGTTAGTATGGAATTCTATTGGAGACTTTATTTTCTCTTGGCTGTTTGGTCAAATTCCGTCGTTAAATAACCGAAATCAATCTGTTTAACTCTAAAAACTCTTTGAAAAATTGAGATTAAATGGTTATTATTATCGATTAAAAAAGAAAGAACTCCAAGGACCTCTCATAGAATGTAGTTAGTTCGGACCAGAAGTCGCACGAATGGCATAAAGTATTTAAGAATCATTGACATTTTCATTAAAAGTCCATTAGTTTATGAGATCCAATTGGTTAACCTTCCAACATATTTAGTAATAACGACAATGATAATATTTTGCTAATCATACCCATAAAATATAATCAATCGGTCAGACGAAAGAACAAACGGGTTACTTAGCACGAAAAAGGGGTCTTAAGCAATCAAAACAATAGCTGAAAAGGACATTTCCTGATGAAAAAAATGAAGGAGAAAGGTAAAACCACATAACAAAAGTCAAAAAGTAAAAAAGACCAACCGGATAGTCGTCAAAACACTACATAGAAAATAAAAATTGAGCAACACGAATCCCACAAAAACTGTGTGCGTCCTCAGAAGCCCTTGGAACACAATACATTGAAATGCGTTTCCGTTCGACTTGTGGTACCTTTCATGCTTCTTTTACATGTAAAAATCAAATGATATGTCGCATATTTTATGTTTTTAAACAAAATACCAATTTACGCCAAATTTTTTGCCATAGTTGAATGTAAACTGAATTAAAATTAATGGTAAGGAGAACTTGTTATCAGTAATTAAGTCGGGAATATCGTTTTCATACAATCAAAATAAATGTACAGTCTACTTAAGACTATTAGTAAACCATACCCAATTAACACTGATGATATGCACAACAGCGATACCAGATTAATTATGATAAATAAAAACAAATAAACAATAGCGTTCCAATCAATAGTATCATGTCCCCCGTCTTACAGTAACGTAACAGTGTGATAGTTAAGGGTTACCAAACGATTTTGACAAGTAGCCATCTGACTAGAAGCCATATCTTGTCATAAACTAGACAAAAATTACATTATAAAAAAACATACTTTCATTTTCTTGGAAATCTAATATAAACTATATCGATACATTTATGCATATTTATATACGTTGTGTGAATATAAAACAAAATCACACGAATAATTGATACTAATTCTATAAAAAAGACTTTAAAGTTAAAATATGAGTTAGTACAATTTAAGTAGAATCAAGCATTGGTAAGTGTATATTTGTGGTATGTAAAGTTGTAATGTCAGATTTATCATTTTAGACAAGCAGGAATTTCCTATCTATTTTGATTTTAGAGTAAAAAGATAAAAGATAGTGATTTATAAGTATGACTAAAACTTTCTATTCAATACACAACGCACGCTCTTATTTCTATGACATATATGCAGTAAGTTTAACACATGGCGGTTTGTAATCTTTAACTAAATTTTATAAATTATATCGGATAACAAAAGAACGGAAAATAAGGTTTTGACATTGCTGACTCTTTAAACTGTAACAATCAAAAATACGAGAAAAATTGTTTTGATTATTTTACCAAATCAAGTTGAACAACGGTTAAAAGCATTGCACGAACTTTGAACATTCTGTAAACGGCTTAAATCAAGCATACACGAATTCTTTGTAACATTTATAAAACATTTTCTGAAGTATGCATTTCGTCACGTCACGTCACGTCTTCTACGGATGACTAATGTCTGTACACGTGGAATAGAAAAAAATTATAAAAAATGACTTAAATAAAAATCAGATCCAAAATATTAAAAACAAATGTTCTTGATGACAAGAAAAATGTAAAAAAAAAAAAAGAAAAGAAATTTGTAGTTACGTTATTTTATACTCTTAAAATAAACTATTAAAGAGACGGGATATTGGTATACAAATTTGTGTAGAACAATATAAGAAAATCTGCTTGCTTAAGAGTTCCAAAACAACCACTGTATCAAATGTGTGAAACAAACAGTAAAACCTGGTATTAAATATTTGAAATTAACACTTACCTTGTTGTAAACAAGAATCAACACAGTCGCCATTGATTTGATTACACAGTTGCAGTAACTAGATACAAGCGTCTTATCTCAGCTGGTAAACTCGTATCACCGGTATCATCTCGTTACCATGGGAATCATTTTCTTTAATGTCGGTTTTTCGGGATTTTTTTTATATAGATTTTCTATTGATCATAAAAACAATCTTATGTAAAGTAAATAAATAAACAAAAGTTAATGCATATTTTGTTTACATGGTTCATTCAATCTAATTATTACAATGTTTTGCTTTCACTATAAATGTGCCTGTAAAAGACACTGCGGTTTATTAAGTGTCCAATTAACTTCATGAAAATTGTAGATACATGTGGATATTATTTTTCTTGATTATATCCAATCACAGAATATATTAAACGGATTAAGAATTTGGCCGCTGTCCGCACTTTCTCAGACTTGAAAATGTACTTTTTTATGCGTTTTAATATTCCTTAGATTTATTTTCCTGTTGCCACTATTCCTTAGATTTATTTTTCTGTTGCGACTATTCCTTCGATTTATTTTTCTGTTGCCACTATTCCTTATATTTATTTTTTTCCGACGCTGACTTTTTGTAAAGATTTCTGGACTTTCTGTCTTCATTAGCATGGGAACCTAGAACGAAACTCCGTTTATATCCTAATAGAAATGACATGTGTTTAATGGTCCCCCGCGCAACGCGTTGCGGGGGACATAGAAATACCGGGCGTCCGTCGGTCCGTCCGTCCGTCCGGTCCTGTTAGCGCTCTCACTTGTACAATTCTCGCCAAATTTTTATGAAACTTATATCAAAGCTTTATATCAGCAATGTCTTGGATGAGTTCGAAAATCAGTGCCGATCAATTATTTTTAAAAGAGTTATGCCCCTTGGAAACATTAATTATATGGAACATTGCATCGTTAGCGTTCTCATTTGTACAATTCTTGCCAGATTTTTATGAAACTTATATCATAGGTTTATATTAGCAATGTCTTGGACGAGTTTGAAAACCAGTACCAATCAATTTTTTAAAAGAGTTATGTCCCTTGAAAACATCAATTATATGGAAAACTGCATCGTTAGCGCTCTCATGTGTTCAATTCTTGCCAGATTTGTATGAAACTTATATCTTAGGTTTATATCAGCAATATCTTGGACGAGTTCGAAAATCCGTGCCGATCAATTATTTTTGAAAGAGTAATGCTCCTTAGAAACATTAATTATATGGAACATTGCATTGTTAGCGCTCTCATGTGTACAATTCTTGCCACAATTTTATAAAACTTAAATCATAGGTTTATATCAGCAGTGTCTTTGACGATTTAGAAAATCAGTGCAGATCAATAACTTTTAAGAGATTTATGCCCCTTGGGAATATTAATTATATGGAAAATTGCCTTATGAGCGTCTAATGTGTACAATTCTTGCCAGATTTTTATGAAATTTATATTATAGGTTTATATCATCAATGTCTGAAGAGTTAAAAAATCAGTGTTGATCAATTATTTTTGAAAGAGTTATGGCCCTTGGAAATATTGATTATATGCAAAATTGCATAGTTAGAGCTCTCATGTGTTCAATTCTTGCCAGAATTTTATGAAACTTATATCATAGGTTTATATCAGCAATGTCTTTGACATTTTCGAAAATAAGTTCTGATCAAATATATTTAACGAGTTATGCCTCTTGGAAATATTAATTATAATGGAAATCACAATGCATTTGCTCTAAAGCTTTCACTTCTCTAAGATATTAATAAAAAGTTTTAAAGAACAAAAAAAAAGTGCTTTTTTTAGTTATTGCCCTTGTACCATGGATATATATATAGATAAAATATGTGCAACGCGGGAGACATTGGAACTCTGTTCTTTTATTGCTTTTTGTTTTGTTTTTTACTTTAGATGGGATACCCAGAAGAGCAATTTTTCATACAAGGACTTCTCAAGAAAGATTAATGAAAATAGGCCTTATCTGATAATCAAAATATACATATGTTTTAGCATTTAAACGATTACTTGAAAGTTTGCTGATTTTTTCATCAAAATTCTCAATAAAGTTCAAATAAAGAATATCCCAGCTACAGCCAGGTCTGCCTCGTACCTAAACTTACACCTATAGTGGTCCACAGAGACAGATTCGGTTCAGTACAAACACTTCATGACAATGACTTTGATTCCCAAATAAGAACTTTCCATTTCTTTGCAACATTCCGGAAGCTCTATATATGGAGTTAATATCTCTCAGTTCGGGTTCTGAATTGTAAAACCCGAATTAATCAGTCGCTGCTCTACGATGGCTTTATAAACCCCAAAGTTTTAGTGAGGTTCGTATTGCTCAATCTTTACTAGTTTTTAGTGTAATGTTTTGTGTTTATCTTTTCGTTTTTTTTTCTGCAGACCATGATGTTGCCTGATTTTCTATGACATTTTATGGTTGCTCTTTTGGGGATTTTTAAATCAACTAAAACTACTCACTTTCTATATGTTTGTACAGGTGAAAATTTCAAACCTATAATAATTATCTGGTGTGCTTTACATGCAGGTTTGATATGTTTAAAGATGATATTAGACAGATAAGAAGAGTACAAGACGCTAGCTGTTTCATTACACAAAGATATCATTCAGATGTAGATTGGAAGACACAGAATTTTACTAAACATTTCAATTTTTCAATTTCTGTCAAAATTGCTTATCAATAAAAACTATATTGTTCATAATCTTTAGATGCTAACTTATACTTAGTTCTATAGGTTATTTGTGTAACAAATTTCATTTATTTCGTTTTGACGTATAAGTCAAAAGAAATTGACTATAGTGCGAACAAGGGACAAGGTATACGATTTGGGACCAAATCGGCCCTTAAATGAATTGTATATGAAATTTTCTCTGAAGAATAAAATGTTGAAGCAATGTACTTAAATAAAACATTGAGGATTTAGTTTAAAATATCTGCCATTCATTTAGAATGGCAAATTTGCCAAATATGTGTGACAAACCAGGAATAAGAAATAATACACAGCACAAGCGTCACCCAACAAGAGGCTCTCAAGAGCCTGAATCGCTCACCTGTATTTCAGAGGAGAAGATTTTTAAATGTTAGCAAACTTGATGAACAAATTGTGTTAAATTGTCTTTAAAGGGCAATAACTCCTTAAGGGGTCAATTGATAATTTTGGTCATAATAACTTTTTTGTAGATCTTACTTTGCTGAACATTATTGCTGCTTACAGTTTATATATATCTATAATAATATTCAAAATAATAACAAAAAACTGCAAAATTTTGTTAAAACTACCAATTTGATGGCAGCAACCCAACAATGGGTTGTTCGATTCGTCTGATAATTTCAGGGCCGATAGATCTTGACCAATTAAACAATTTTAACCCCCATGTCACATTTGCTCTAAAAGATTTAGTTTTTGAGATATAAGCCAAAAACTGCATTTGACCCTTATGTTCTATTTTTAGCCATGGCGGCCATGTTTGTCGATGGATACAAACTTCGGATACAATTTATAAACAAGATACCCTAAGGAACAATTAGTTAAAGTTTGAAGGTAATTGGCCCAGTAGTTTCAGAGGAGAAGATTTTTAAATGTTAGCAAACTTGATGAACAAATTGTGTTAAATTGTCTTTAAAGGGCAATAACTCCTTAAAGGGTCAATTGACAATTATGGTCATATTAACTTTTTTGTAGATCTTACTTTGCTGAACATTATTTCTGCTTACAGTTTATATATATCTATAATAATATTCAAAACAATAACAAAAAACTGCAAAATTTTGTTAAAACTACCAATTCGGTGGCAGCAACCCAACAATGGGTTGTTCGATTCTTCTGATAATATCAGGGCCGATAGATCTTGACCAATTAAACAATTTTACCCCCATGTCACATTTGCTCTAAAAGATTTAGTTTTTGAGATATAAGCCAAAAACTGCATTCGACCCTTATGTTCTATTTTTAGCCATGGCGGCCATGTTTGTCGATGGATACAAACTTCGGATACTATTTATAAACAAGATACCCTAAGGAACAATTAGTTAAAGTTTGAAGGTAATTGGCCCAGTAGTTTCAGAGGAGAAGATTTTTAAATGTTAGCAAACTTGATGAACAAATTGTGTTAAATTGTCTTTAAAGGGCAATAACTCCTTAAGGGGTCAATTGACAATTTTGGTCATATTAACTTTTTTGTAGATCTTACTTTGCTGAACATTATTGCTGCTTACAGTTTATATATATCTATAATAATATTCAAAATAATAACAAAAAACTGCAAAATTTTGTTAAAACTACCAATTTGATGGCAGCAACCCAACAATGGGTTGTTCGATTCGTCTGATAATTTCAGGGCCGATAGATCTTGACCAATTAAACAATTTTAACCCCCATGTCACATTTGCTCTAAAAGATTTAGTTTTTGAGATATAAGCCAAAAACTGCATTTGACCCTTATGTTCTATTTTTAGCCATGGCGGCCATGTTTGTCGATGGATACAAACTTCGGATACAATTTATAAACAAGATACCCTAAGGAACAATTAGTTAAAGTTTGAAGGTAATTGGCCCAGTAGTTTCAGAGGAGAAGATTTTTAAATGTTAGCAAACTTGATGAACAAATTGTGTTAAATTGTCTTTAAAGGGCAATAACTCCTTAAAGGGTCAATTGACAATTATGGTCATATTAACTTTTTTGTAGATCTTACTTTGCTGAACATTATTTCTGCTTACAGTTTATATATATCTATAATAATATTCAAAACAATAACAAAAAACTGCAAAATTTTGTTAAAACTACCAATTCGGTGGCAGCAACCCAACAATGGGTTGTTCGATTCTTCTGATAATATCAGGGCCGATAGATCTTGACCAATTAAACAATTTTACCCCCATGTCACATTTGCTCTAAAAGATTTAGTTTTTGAGATATAAGCCAAAAACTGCATTCGACCCTTATGTTCTATTTTTAGCCATGGCGGCCATGTTTGTCGATGGATACAAACTTCGGATACTATTTATAAACAAGATACCCTAAGGAACAATTAGTTAAAGTTTGAAGGTAATTGGCCCAGTAGTTTCAGAGGAGAAGATTTTTAAATGTTAGCAAACTTGATGAACAAATTGTGTTAAATTGTCTTTACAGGGCAATAACTCCTTAAGGGGTCAATTGACAATTTTGGTCATATTAACTTTTTTGTAGATCTTACTTTGCTGAACATTATTTCTGCTTACAGTTTATATATATCTATAATAATATTCAAAATAATAACAAAAAACTGCAAAATTTTGTTAAAACTACCAATTTGATGGCAGCAACCCAACAATGGGTTGTTCGACTCGTCTGAAAATGTCAGAGCTGATAGATCTTGACCAATTGAACAATTTTACTCAGTGTCAGATTTGCTCTAAAAGCTTTAGTTTTTGAGATATAAGCCAAAAACTGCATTTGACCCCTATGTTCTATTTTTAGCCATGGCGGCCATGTTTGTCGATGGATCAAAACTTCGGATACAATTTATAAACTAGATACCCTAAGGAACATTTAGTTAAAGTTTGAAGGTAATTGGCCCAGTAGTTTCAGAGGAGAAGATTTTTTAAATAGTTTACGACGACAGACGACGGACGACGACGGACGACGACGGACGCCAAGTGATGGCATAAGCTCACATGGGGCCCTTCGAGCCCCGGTGAGCTAGAAATGTGACACACCGGCAATAAGAAATAATACACAGAGCACAAGCGTCACCTAAAAAGATATTTTATACACAGGAAGTGTATTTCATGTTTCTCTCTTTGTTTTTTGCGACCCTTGTGCTCTATACTAATTTAGCCGAAAAGTTCCTGAAACAAGCCTGTGTTTTCCTAAAGTTAGATAAATCGTCACTCCAATAACCAAATTGTGTCATCAAGACTGAGCTTATATAGTCAATTTCACTAGCAGGAATTTATTTCAGATTGAATATATAGGAAATTTGAAAAAAAAGCAGGATGAGCAACTTGGCAAAAAACAAGAGGCTCTCAAGAGCCTGAATCGCTCACCTGTAATTTTTTGCTCAAATCTTTCATCAATGATTATTTTTGCTTTTCAATATATATTAATGAGTGGCTTAAAAATGCCATTTTTAAAAATGCCATTTAAATGTTCTTTGTATCATATTTTCTTCAAAAGCAAAAAAAATGCATTTTACTCATATGTTCCATTTAAGCCACAGTGGCTATGTTTCTTGACGTACAAGGAAATAAAATACAAAAAATTATACTAGATACTCTGACACTCATTCAGCCCAAGTTTGGCTGAAATTGATTCAGCAATATCAAAGGAGAAGATTTTTTAAAGTAAGCAAACCAGATGAACAAATTGTGAAACATTGTCTTTAAAGGACAATAACTCCTTAAGGGGTCAATTGAAAATTTTGGTCATATCATAAAATTTATTTGTAGATCATACTTTGCTGAACATTTTTGCTGTTTACAGTTTATCTTTATCTATAATAATATTCAAGATAATAACCGAAAACTACAAATTTTCCTTAAAATCATCAATTCATGGACAATAACCTAAAAATCAGATACCCGATTTGGCTGATAATTTCAGGGCAGGTAGACCTTGACCTAATGAATACTTTAATTTCTTGTCTGATTTGCTCTAAATGCTTTAGTTTTTGAGATATATGTCAAAAACTGCATTTTACCCTATGTTCTATTTTTAGCCATGACAGCCATGTTTTCTGAGGAAACAGAAAATAAAACACAAACTTTATTCTAGATGACCTAAGAATCATTCAGTTTAAGTTTGGTTTAGTTTGGTTCAGTAGTTTCAGAGGAGAAGATTTTTTAAAGTTAGAAAACATGATAAACAAATTATGCAAAATTGTCTTTAAAGGGCAATAACTCCTCAAGGGGTCAATTGACAATTTTGGTCATATTAAACTTATTTGTAGATCTTACTTTGCTGAACATTTTTGCTTTTTATAGTTTATCGTTATCTATAATAATATTCAAGATAACCAAAAACTGCAAAATTTCCTTAAAATTACCAATTTAGTGGCAGCAACCCAACAATGGGTTGTTAGATTCATCTGAAAATTTCAGGGCTGATAGAACTTGACTTAATTAACATTTTTACCCCCTGTCAGATTTGCTCTTAATGCTTTAGTTTTTGAGATATAAGCCAAAACTGCATTTGACCCTTATGTTCTATTTTTAGCCATGGCGGCCATGTTTGTCGATGGATACAAACTTCGGATACTATTTATAAACAAGATACCCTAAGGAACAATTAGTTAAAGTTTGAAGGTAATTGGCCCAGTAGTTTCAGAGGAGAAGATTTTTAAATGTTAGCAAACTTGATGAACAAATTGTGTTAAATTGTCTTTAAAGGGCAATAACTCCTTAAGGGGTCAATTGATAATTTTGGTCATAATAACGTTTTTGTAGATCTTACTTTGCTGAACATTATTGCTGCTTACAGTTTATATATATCTATAATAATATTCAAAATAATAACAAAAAACTGCAAAATTTTGTTAAAACTACCAATTTGATGGCAGCAACCCAACAATGGGTTGTTCGATTCGTCTGAAAATGTCAGAGCTGATAGATCTTGACCAATTGAACAATTTTACTCAGTGTCAGATTTGCTCTAAAAGCTTTAGTTTTTGAGATATAAGCCAAAAACTGCATTTGACCCCTATGTTCTATTTTTAGCCATGGCGGCCATGTTTGTCGATGGATCAAAACTTCGGATACAATTTATAAACTAGATACCCTAAGGAACATTTAGTTAAAGTTTGAAGGTAATTGGCCCAGTAGTTTCAGAGGAGAAGATTTTTTAAATAGTTTACGACGACAGACGACGGACGACGACGGACGCCAAGTGATGGCATAAGCTCACATGGGGCCCTTCGGGCCCCGGTGAGCTAGAAATGTGACACACCGACAATAAGAAATAATACACAGAGCACAAGCGTCACCTAAAAAGATATTTTATACACAGGAAGTGTATTTCATGTTTCTCTCTTTGTTTTTTGCGACCCTTGTGCTCTATACTAATTTAGCCGAAATGTTCCTGAAACAAGCCTGTGTTTTGCTAAAGTTAGATAAATCGTCACTCCAATAACCAAATTGTGTCATCAAGACTGAGCTTATATAGTCAATTTCACTAGCAGGAATTTATTTCAGATTGAATATATAGGAAATTTGAAAAAAAGCAGGATGAGCAACTTGGCAAAAAACAAGAGGCTCTCAAGAGCCTGAATCGCTCACCTGTAATTTTTTGCTCAAATCTTTCATCAATGATTATTTTTGCTTTTCAATATATATTAATGAGTGGCTTAAAAATGACATTTAAATGTTCTTTGTATCATATTTTCTTCAAAAGCAAAAAAAATGCATTTTACTCATATGTTCCATTTAAGCCACAGTGGCTATGTTTCTTGACGTACAAGGAAATAAAATACAAAAATTATACTAGATACTCTGACACTCATTCAGCCCAAGTTTGGCTGAAATTGATTCAGCAATATCAAAGGAGAAGATTTTTTAAAGTAAGCAAACCAGATGAACAAATTGTGAAACATTGTCTTTAAAGGACAATAACTCCTTAAGGGGTCAATTGAAAATTTTGGTCATATCATAAAATTTGTTTGTAGATCATACTTTGCTGAACATTTTTGCTGTTTACAGTTTATCTTTATCTATAATAATATTCAAGATAATAACCGAAAACTACAAATTTTCCTTAAAATCATCAATTCATGGACAATAACCTAAAAATCAGATACCCGATTAGGCTGATTATTTCAGGGCAGGTAGACCTTGACCTAATGAATACTTTAATTTCTTGTCTGATTTGCTCTAAATGCTTTAGTTTTTGAGATATATGTCAAAAACTGCATTTTACCCTATGTTCTATTTTTAGCCATGAAAGCCATGTTATCTGAGGAAGCAGAAAATAAAACACAAACTTTATTCTAGATGACCTAAGAATCATTCAGTTTAAGTTTGGTTTAGTTTGGTTCAGTAGTTTCAGAGGAGAAGATTTTTTAAAGTTAGAAAACATGATAAACAAATTATGCAAAATTGTCTTTAAAGGGCAATAACTCCTCAAGGGGTCAATTGACAATTTTGGTCATATTAAACTTATTTGTAGATCTTACTTTGCTGAACATTTTTGCTTTTTATAGTTTATCGTTATCTATAATAATATTCAAGATAACCAAAAACTGCAAAATTTCCTTAAAATTACCAATTTAGTGGCAGCAACCCAACAATGGGTTGTTAGATTCATCTGAAAATTTCAGGGCTGATAGAACTTGACTTAATTAACATTTTTACCCCGTCAGATTTGCTCTTAATGCTTTAGTTTTTGAGATATAAGCCAAAACTGCATGTTACCCCTATGTTCTATTTTAAGCCATGGCGGCCATGTTTTTTGACCAAACAAAAAATAAAATACAAACTTTATTCTAGATACCCTAAGGATCATTTAGCTTAAGTTTGGTTGGAATTGGTTCAGTAGTTTCAGAGGAGAAGATGTTTGAAATAGTTTACACCGGACGGACGACGACGACGGACGACAAGTGATGGCAAAAGCTCACATTTCCTTTGAAAAGGTGAGTCAAATGGTAGCTCCCTTACAGATTGCTGTTAACATAATTTTATAGAGAAGCTATACTTCTTTTTTTTAAATCAAATATCCAATAGCGGGCCAATAAAAGTAAAATGTATCTATTATTCTAATGAATCCAATTGAAAAACAACAACAATTAGTTTAATACTTATAACATCAACAATAAAACAAATATAGATGTGTATTTTTTGCGGCAATATTTACAAAATGTCAAGACAAAACAGATCATACTCGTTTTTAGCGCCATGTCGGGACAACGCTACTTTTCATTCTAGCTCGTTGTTTATCTGCTTCTAGTTTGTGGAGTTTTGCCTTCAAGTCTACAATCTCTTTTTCAAAATTGCTTACTTTGTTCTCTAGTCTTTTGTTTTCCTGTTCAAATTCTTCAGCCTTACACTTTGCATCAATTATATCATGTGATAATTCATCATTTTTCTGTGTCTTATCTTTCAACATTTTCTCGGTTTCTGACATTTTTTTCTGAAGAAGTTTAAATTCAGATTTTGCCGATTCTTTCTCCGACTTTACTTGCAGCATATCATTTTCGAACGACACTACTTTTGAAGTTTGTTGCCTAATTTTTTCTTGAAGGTCACTATTCTGCTTCCGTAATTTTGTCGATTCTGTTTTCAGTTTTATTTTTTCTTCTCTCTCTAGATTTAAATCTTTAGTAAGACTTTGCATTTGTGTTTTTATCCCTGTGATCTTACTAAGCAAATTTTCAGCTTCTTGCTGTTTAAGTTCCCTCTTCACGTTAGCATCCTTCAGTTTTATTTCCAGTTGGTTAATTTGATGATTTAGATCAACTTTCAGATCTACGATTTCAGATCGTAAATGTTTTATAACCATTTCCTGTTTAAGATTCGTATCTTGCAGCTCCAGATATTTTTCATGCTCCTCTATATTTTGAATCCTTTGAACAAAAGATTCCTTTTCTGCCACGAACGTCTTACTATGTGACACAAGTGACCCTGCTATGTTTTGGGTCACTGAATGAAGGTGTCCAACATGAGAGGAGATTGTTGTTAGTTGATTCCTAAGTTCAGAGTTTTCTCGCTTTATATCACTTGGTGTGCGGTCATGTTTAGACTGAAAATACAACAGAAATGGTGACATAAAATATCATGTATAGGAACCTGGATAAAGGGGAAACACATGAATGTGGAAAGCTAAGATTGACGCATAGTTCTTGACCTGGTTGGTTCATTAGTTTAACAATGTTCTTTGATAACATAAATATACGTTATGCTTTACAAAGGAGACAATCTTATCTTGGCGTGAGATGCAGAATGTTATGTTTATCATATAAAACCCTGTACTAACCCCTAGTTATATGTTTCCACTGACGCATTTTCTATTAGTAATAAATGAAGTACAAAATCAATTAAACCTGTATATGCCTAAATACAACAATTCATGACCAAGCCAACACTTATACTATGGTACAATAAACAACAAACAAATAAAGATTCTGATGTATTGATTTTTACCAGCAGTGTAATTTAATATGTCCTTGAATCTATACTTAATTCCACAGTATCACAGCTTCATGTATTATATTATAAATTCCTTTGGATGGCTAAAACTGCATTTTAACTTTTTGATAGGTATTGGCAACTTTTTAATTATTTTAATATCAAATTTACTGAAGGAAAATTCCTAAACAAAATCAAAATTCAATCGAAACTTTCTTTGAGAAAAAAAAAATTGGTTACATATGCGATATTTACAATCAGCACCTTCTTATTAAAATTGTATTGGCTGAATAATATTTAGATTTTATGGAAATAAACAGAACGTTGATAGGGCAACACGATCTGAAAGTTACACCCATCGTATTGCCGAGATGGCTAGACCAAACATAAATGTCGAAATAAAAGGTAATGTGAGAACTAGACACTTTAAAAGTATTTAAACTCCAAACACCTCTTTAGACACTTTCCTTGGTAGAGGGTTGTTGCTTACAAGGAAGCTATTGAACCAAGTGGTCAAGTTGAAATCAGTCTTTAGTTTTTCTTGTTGTGTTTTGTGTACTACTTGTCTTTTCGTCGTTTTTCGTTTTTTGCCTTGGCTTTCTTTGTCAGTGTGTTTTCGACTTATGATTTTGAGTATCTCTTTGGTATCTTTCGCATCTCTTTTGTCACGAGTTTGTTAACCAATTTGGTGTCAAACAGTGTCGATACCAGACTAGTCTAGTATAATCTAGTAAATAACCCTTACAATGAGCAGTATACGTAATGCTGCATTCTATTTCAATGGCTGGTGTAAAGACTTGAAGTACAGTTACTTCCCTGATTTTGTAGACATTATTTTTAAAGGGTAATATTTTGGAAAATGGTGAACATCAAATGTCTCAGTCAGTTTTGTGATTACATTACTCTGTTTGAAGTTCAAGTAAATGAATGTGAGGCGACGAAGGGTTCACGTCAATGGGACTGCACTGTGGTGTTAAATTTTTTTTATTATATAAGACTCACATGATCTTCAAATAGGTGACAATCAAATAAAAAATAAGGTAAATCAAAACATGAACTTTTAAGGAATAACACTTTTAAGTTGGAGATTCGCTTTATAGAATTAACACAGTAAAATTATTCAAATACAGTGCAAAAAGACTCTTTAAAGTGCTTGAACTGATTGTGTCGAGGAAGTTTGGATATGATAGGATATCTAAAAATGCTTATGGTGACAAAAGTCTAATTATAACACACACCTTGTATTAAAATCCATAATCCCTTCATACCTTGGTTGAATCACAATCAAACATATTTAAATCGCGTTTGACGTAAATGAAAGACAAATGTATGAAAAGATAGCAACTGGTTAACCACGACAGTAACATTAGACTTACTATATGTTCTGGAGGAGGTTTACTTTTACTGTTCTTTGGTATATTTTCCTTTTTAATTCTCTCATTTTTAGGACCCAAGGCTGTTGGTGTCTTGTTGACTCTTAAATCTACCAAAGGATGCAAATATACTTTAAAGTACAAAATGACATAAACATCTTTCTTAAATAGATGGTTCATAGTTTAAACTATTTACATAAACCGTTCATACTGACTTTGTAAAAAAATTAGATTTTCATCAGGTTCAAAGCAAGGTAATACACTATTACACAATCAAATACAAAAACACCAATAAGACGATTATATCTCCATCTCACAAAAACAACTGAAAAACAAAATAGAATCAAAACACACACAAAAAAACAGCGTAGACGTGTGCATTGGGAAGATATCTAACGTTAGCTGGCAGTTTCTATTGAAGTAATAACATGCCAATACAAACAGCATTGGTGGCTAGGATATCACAGTAATAACATGCCAATACAAACAGTATTGGTGGCTAGGATATCACAGTAATAACATGCCAATACAAACAGCATTGGTAGCAAGGATATCACAGTAACAACATGCCAATACAAACAGCATTGGTGGCTAGGATATCACAGTAATAACATGCCAATACAAACAGCATTGGTGGCTAGGATATCACAGTAATAACATGCCAATACAAACAGCATTGGTGGCTAGGATATCAAAGTAATAACATGCCAATACAAACAGCATTGGTAGCTAGGATATCACAGTAATAACATGCCAATACAAACAGCATTGGTAGCTAGGATATCACAGCAACAACATGCCAATACAAACAGCATTGGTGGCTAGGATATCACAGTAATAACATACCAATACAAACAGCATTGGTGGCTAGGATATCACAGTAATAACATGCCAATACAAACAACATTGGTGGCTAGGATATCACAGTAATAACATGCCAATACAAACAGCATTGGTGGCTAGGATATCACAGTAATAACATGCCAATACAAACAGCATTGGTGGCTAGGATATCACAGTAATAACATGCCAATACAAACAGCATTGGTGGCTAGGATATCACAGCAACAACATGCCAATACAAACAGCATTGGTGGCTAGGATATCACAGTAATAACATGCCAATACAAACAGCATTGGTGGCTAGGATAGCTAGGATATCACAGTAATAACATGCCAATACAAACAGTATTGGTGGCTAGGATATCACAGTAACAACATGCCAATACAAACAGTATTGGTGGCTAGGATATCACAGTAACAACATGCCAATACAAACAGTATTGGTGGCTAGGATATCACAGTAATAACATGCCAATACAAACAGCATTGGTTGCTAGGATATCACAGTAATAACATGTCAATACAAACAGCATTGGTGGCTAGGATATCACAGTAATAACATGCCAATACAAACAGTATTGGTGGCTAGGATATCACAGTAATAACATGCCAATACAAACAGTATTGGTGGCTAGGATATCACAGTAATAACATGCCAATACAAACAGCATTGGTGGCTAGGATATCACAGTAATAACATGCCAATACAAACAGCATTGGTAGCTAGGATATCACAGCAACAACATGCCAATACAAACAACATTGGTGTCTAGGATATCATAGTAATAACATGCCAATACAAACAGCATTGGTAGCTAGGATATCACAGTAATAACATGCCAATACAAACAGCATTGGTAGCTAGGATATCACAGCAACAACATGCCAATACAAACAACATTGGTGGCTAGGATATCACAGTAATAACATGTCAGTACAAACAGCATTGGTGGCTAGGATATCACAGTAACAACATGCCAATACAAACAGTATTGGTGGCTAGGATATCACAGTAACAACATGCCAATACAAACAGTATTGGTGGCTAGGATATCACAGTAATAACATGCCAATACAAACAGCATTGGTTGCTAGGATATCACAGTAATAACATGTCAATACAAACAGCATTGGTGGCTAGGATATCACAGTAATAACATGCCAATACAAACAGTATTGGTGGCTAGGATATCACAGTAATAACATGCCAATACAAACAGCATTGGTGGCTAGGATATCACAGTAATAACATGCCAATACAAACAGCATTGGTGGCTAGGATATCACAGTAATAACATGCCAATACAAACAGTATTGGTGGCTAGGATATCACAGTAATAACATGCCAATACAAACAGCATTGGTGGCTAGGATATCACAGTAATAACATGCCAATACAAACAGCATTGGTAGCTAGGATATCACAGCAACAACATGCCAATACAAACAACATTGGTGTCTAGGATATCATAGTAATAACATGCCAATACAAACAGCATTGGTAGCTAGGATATCACAGTAATAACATGCCAATACAAACAGCATTGGTAGCTAGGATATCACAGCAACAACATGCCAATACAAACAACATTGGTGGCTAGGATATCACAGTAATAACATGTCAGTACAAACAGCATTGGTGGCTAGGATATCACAGTAATAACATGCCAATACAAACAGCATTGGTGGCTAGGATATCGACACCTTCGGGGCCTTGCAATCTACTAGCAGATAGATCGATCCACTGATAATAATACGGAGTGGCTATTTGTCCGGCTAGCCGGACTAGTGCTAGGACTGTTTGTCCGGCCATGACAATGCGCATGTCACTTTATGTGCGTGCGGAAGTGCGTGTCATATTATCTTCAGCAGCACCAGGGGGTCGCGTGTAATCCGATCACTGATTTTCAATTTTGACTGATCATGGCTGAAAACAGCGATATCAATATTTTAGATACAGTTTACAGTTTTCAGAATTAGACAAGCGAATACGAAAGTATGAACTTAAAGAAAGATCTAATTTTATAAAAGGGACTCAAAAATAACTGAAAGCACAAGGAAAAGTGAGATATAAGGGGGAGCGGGGGTTACAAAAGGTGTGGATGTGGGATATAGGTTGTAAAAAGTGGGGATATGGAATATAGGGGACAACAAAGGTCGGATCTGGGGGGACAAAGAGGGATTTGGGAAAAGGAACCCTGTGTCACCTCGACCCCCTAACGTAGTGCATTTATTTAGAACAATAAATACAAATAAAAAGAAAAATCCCACCTGGGATTCCTAATAAGATTTTTACAGTGTAGTTTACTTTTTGGGGGAAACATATAGAAAAATCTACCACCTCTAACTCAAAATATGGATAACTTTATGTTAAGGGGGTCTATAATTCTGTTTGACAGCTTCAGACATAACAATTTTGTATCTTTTTCAACTAGACCAAATCCTTACGTTAACTTAAAATGCATGAGTCAATCACGACCCAAGTTTGCTTTACAAGTATTTTCTTCCCTCTTCATACAATTGTGAAGCCATAGATAAAGAAATAAATATGGAATATGTATGAAAAAAATTTCAAATTATACGTTGTCCACATTGGACTATATATGAAGGAAACAACAATTTCAATTACCAGTAACAAGATTGGGGCCTTACAATTAAAGATTGCAAAACATTGCTTTTTAAATATCCATATATAATTTGCGACCCCCTGGTGCTGATGAAGATAATATTACACGCACACACAAATAGTGACATGCGTATTGTATTGGCCGGACAAATAGTCCTGGTACTATTCGTCCGGCTAGCCGGACAAATAGCAACTGCCATAATAATACAAAGTAACAAGATACAAATCATAATTGGATGCACCATATGCGTGTTCGAAAATAGGTAAAGTTTTCAAAGCTAAGAGAGTGAAAGAAATATATACAGATGAAATTTATCCTACTCCTTTGTTTCTCATCAATGGAGCACGCATGTCAATTTAATTTATCAGTCTGTTGATTTTTATACAATTCTAAGATATCGACAAATTTTAATGCGAATGCTGTCAGTGAAAAGGTGTTATGTTGACTTCCAAAAACACGCTATCCCTGTCCAAATTTCATAAAACTCCATAAAATAAAGGTTTTGCAAAGTGATGTCTAAATAACACAAGACTGTATCTTTATGGTTGTCGAAACAATTTAAGTCCATTATTAATAAAATACCGAAAAATTAGAGAAAATAAATCAAATTTTGCTCCTGCTGGATGCTCTCTTGAGTAAGCTTCCGTCCATGTTTCTAAAATTCCATGATATATTAATTGATGTCTATCAAAACTTTAACCGCAGTCTGTAACTAAATGTTGACGACGCCGACGACACGACTGAATCTAGGATCGCTATTGTATTCGTGAAAAAAAATAATAATGAAGATTTTGAAAATTTAACATGCACAAATTTTCTCTTTGAGTCGGCCTTACAAAAACTTTGAAATTGTACCATTATGACTTATTCAATACAAGATCGCATAGGAAAGTTTTCCTGTTGAACACATACCTGGTTGTTACACACCAATAACGAAACCTTGGTATAAATGTAAGGAAAAGTTGGAATATGTGAATATATTAAAATTTTACAAAATTAACATCTATATGAAAATTCATTCAGTAAATTATTCGTTATACCTTGTGGTTTTATTTCCAACATATCAGCTAGGTGACTGTGTCCTCCCTTTCTCAAAGCATCAACAAACATTCTATATCTCTCCTTTGTGAATTTGGAAACTTCGAAGAAAAAATTCGCATTCCTATCCTGCTCAGAAATTTGTTTCTCTTTTAGATTCATCCAGAAATCCAGAGCTATAACTTTGTCTTCTATCAAAACATGGACGATTTCTTTCAGCATGACTGTCTTCATCAACCATTGCCAATTTTCTGTAAGTTTGTCCTCTATTTTTCGATTCCACTCCATTTTGACTTAGAATTTCAAAACCGCATTGGCACCTTCGGAAGTCATTTAAAGAACATATACATACTTGTCCAACTAACAAAATTGAATCACGTGTAATAACCTAAAAATTTCCAAATGATAATAAATAATCGATATCTTTAAATTGACAAAACCTCAATAATTTTCTACTTTGAGCTTATAATGAATTTCAAACTACCGACTTTGTATACCCGGTCATATGCCAATTGAAAGAAAATTAAACGAAGCGATAATTTTCCACAAAGAAAAAACAAATATATGGGGTGCATGTATTGACTTACACTTCGCTACACAATGTCACTTAACCCTGGTGTCGAACAATCATATCTGACTTATCTATTAAAAAGAATTGAATACAACTCTATACATTTAAATGTACTTTAAATGTTAAAAAGTGTGAATCATCCGTTCAACTATACATGTAATTGCATAGTATGTCATTTTAAGGAACCTTATTAGATAACTTCTTTACACGATTAATGTGCATGAAGTGTAATGTCTGGCAAATCTATTCATTATTTTTTGCATAAATATATCTGTCGAATACACCAGGAAAAAAAGGTTGCACAACAATAAAATTCTTTTTACTATTTCAAAATTCGTTTATTAGCGTTTCCTTTCCCATCTGTATTAGTAGATGGTGAAACGGCTGACGTCTATTATTGTTTGCATAATGTGACTTAAATGGGAAAATAGGGGGTGCTGTATTATTGCCAAATGAGAAAAATATCCACCGAAGGATAAGTAAAATTTAGAATGGAAATGGGGAATATGTCAAAGAGACAACAACCCGGCCGAAGAGCAGATAACAGCCGAAGGCCAATAACGAAAGAAAAAATTGACGTCCTGATTTGAGCTTATAAGAATAAAAAATAAATAATTATGATAGACGGCAACAAATAACTTTTAGGACTTCATCCTGACTTACACGTTCGGAGGGTAACGTGGTTACACATGTTTATGGACGCTCATCTTAACCCGAAACGGTGCGTAACAGCACAACACAAAACAACTGTAAAAAGCAGTAACAAAGGGCTAGACTTAAATTGTAAGTTCGGTACTAAGCACAATAAAAACTAATATTACAACAGAAGACAAATAGTACCTATTTAAGAGTACTTGCAGTTACTGAAAGCTTGTTCAAAATCAAATTTCAACAAATAAAAAGACTACGTTTTTCCAGGCGTAGCTATCAATCAGTGCACCTCTAACAGATTTAGTCCTCCTAATTCAATGCTATTTCTGTCGGCTTCCATCACTTTTCTCCATTTTTATAAATTCACAGTTATGATATTAAACATTTGGAAAAATACAAAAATCACGTAGATAGCCACAAATATATATTCCCGTGCAATGCAAGAATATGACAAACCTGTTGATATACTATGTATATCTACTGAAACTGTAATAAAATGGTTGTGGCTGTTTATTTTCTCCTAAACAACATCTATGTTCGTTTATCGACAAGTTTATGAATTCCAATGGGCACCAATTGATCCCCTTTAATAGCAGACATTTTTCCTGTATCGCTAGAATCATAATTTACGGCAAAACTCAATAAAGATTACTTTTAAATGATAAATTTAATAAAACTTTCCGTTAAATTAGTTATAACTTGTCTTAAATAATCAAGATTTTTTTTATTATACTGCGGAAATATACCCAAGGGAACTTACTTTAAATAAATCTAGTATAAACATAAATAACTGTCCATTTCTAAATTTGGATATTTCAGTTTCACACGGAAAAACTCGATACAAGAGATTGTATGACAAAAGTTACGATTTCTCGTTCCTTATTGTTAAGTTTTCTATTTTTGAACTTTGATGCGCTTTTGGCCATTTCTTACGATGGGCCTTTTATAACTAACTATTCGGTATCGATTTTGTTCATTGTGACCTACAGTTGTTACACCCATGTCATTTGGACTCTGGTTCATAGTTATCGTATTGGCAATCATACCACATCTCCTTATTTTGATAAGACATGCCCACTTATATATTGAAAGACATTAACGGTTTACCAAAACCAAAGCTTTACATTCTTTTTATAGAAATAGATGCTTCAGCTTAAAGAATCAAAGTACTGAAGTACTGAACATCGGATCACCGCAAGTTCTGGTGGATGGTCACAAGCACTTGTCTCAGAAAAAAATTCATATCTCTATATCTGAAAGTTGGGTTAAGGTAGATAGATAATTTTTTTTTCTGAGATAAGTTCTTGTGTGGATGATGAATAAATGACAGGGAATTCAACCTCACCGTAATAATTATTATTATATTGTAGTGATATAATCATTTGTTATCAGTATACTCTGGTTTGTTGTTATATATTATATCAATATTTGTATAACAGTTATATATATGGCAGATCATCTTAATAACTCTACAGGCAAATTTTCATCCATTTATATATCATTATATTCTACTATTCTAATGATAGTGCAGTGCAAGTGCATGGTGGACACTCTTCTGTAATAACTCGTTTTTCTAATAGATTGGATTTGAGTAGGCATTCATATTTTCCCGCTTTTGTTGCAAAACGTTCTCGAAATATTCTTCCGCATGCGTTAACACAAAGGAGTAGGTCCGGTAAGGGCCGATTTTGGCCTAAAACTTCAGGTTAATCTGATGAAAGATTTTGGACACTTTTTAAACACTTAAGTGTCTACTTTAGTAGATTCAATTACTTTATGTGAAAGATTTGAACTGATTTAGTCATTTAAGACGCTCAAATTCAAGCTTAAATATTAAAAATCTATCAAATATGCCATAATATGTCACTTTTCAGATGGTTTTTGTCAAAAATGAAAGTGGCCGCATCCGTGTTCATCCTCAACCTTTATATATGTTATGTATTATCATAAAATACAACTTACATTTCAATATTAAGAATGAACACAAATGCGGCCACTTCCATTTAAGACGGAAACCGTCTAAAAATTAACTAAAATGCTAAAATTGTGAAGATTTCAGTAATTTAGCATGACTTAATGATGCTATTACCCGATACCTGTGCATTGTATTGTCAAAAACAGCCCATATTTATGTAACAGAAGTATTCTACTTTTCAATAAATAGCTAAAAGTTTATATTAAACTTATTTATTTATAATAAAACTGCTATATTTTGGGGCCAAAAAGGGGTCTTACTGAACCTACTCCTTTTCGGTATTCATGATTTGTTATTGATATATATATTTCGCACGACAAAACATTTTCATATCATTTATCTATGTGCTTAAAAATTATTTTCATGAATATTTATTGATGAAATTAATATATAACAAGCGATAAGGAATGTTATGTTGCACTCGATAATATCCGCGTAATTATACGAAATACGTTCGCGGTTATCAGTCAAACTGCAAAGAAATTTCTGCGGCAACATAACACCGGTAAGACCTGTCAAGGTCACATCCGATGTAATAAAAAGTAATAACAAGGAAAATATCGTAGATGCTTTGTAATTAGAAAAAAAAGTTATGAATTTTGTATAGCAATACAAACTAGACAACCCTTTTTAAAAACATAATAATAGAAATAAATAAACAAATAAAACATGTTTGTTCTGAATAAACAACACATCAAAAGCTAAAGCTACGAAACCCAATACATTTTTTTTGTATGATATGCTAGTAGTTGTTGCCCTGATATATTGCATACCCACCTATATTTGTTTGCTTTTAACATGGTGGAAATATACCAATATTTATCTAATTCAGTCAGGGAACGGAACACGATAGATGAATGTGCCTCCAGCCAAGAAAGCATGTGTAAAGGAAAACGACTTCTGATGTTGCACAAGTAAGACCTTCGACCACAATTTATTTTGTGATGGCGGATTTAATTTTTTCTGTATAAAAACAAAAGATAAAACTTCTTAAAACAAAACTAACAAAATGTTTGCGCCTCATTTTAATTGTTCTTCTTTCTGATAGAAAGTTTCCTGCATATTTGTATTCTAGCTGACATGAAAACACGTATTGTGCGAATTGAAACATGTATTGAACGCTCATAATACAACTGGTTCATTACTACCGCGTGATGAGCGTCAATCGCTGTGTTACAACCGGTTAAATAGTCAGTTCTGTCGCTTGGTAACCACCAATCGCTGTGATTCCACCGTTTCAGTCTCCAGGACGACAAGTTTGATAACCGTTAATAACTGCGGTACCAGAGTTCCAGTAGTCAATACTGCCAGATTGATAACCATCAATTGCTGTGGTATTCAGTTCTGCTGCTTTAGACTCGTCAATCTATGTGGCACCATCGTTCGAATAGCCAGTATACTGTCGTTTGATAACCATCAATTGCTGTGGTATCATCGTTCCAGTATCTAGTACTGTCGCTTGATAACCATCAATCGCTGTGGTACCAGATGCTATCAATTTGCATAGTCGAAAGACCAATATTAATTTGTACCAACATACCATGTTTATCTTTTATTTATTGCAACGAATCCTTTATAAACTTTTTGTTCCGCTCCGATCTATCTCTATCATGGTTAACGTGTTGTTTCTTTTTGTTATTTTTTGTTGTATTGTTTAAGATTGTCATGGGTATATCAGATGAAAAATTTACAGATTATAAAATCTGATCATGTGCTTCGTACACATCAAATCATGCTAATAGATTATTATTTTTTTCCAATTTGTAAATACGCGCTAAATATTCAAACAAAAGTTATTGTAAAAAAAGTAATTGAAATCTATTCACAACCATTTAAAACAACGGAACGATATTTTTACGCTCACAATTTCTATCAAAGTTGTCCAGAATCAATCTGGTATATTGCGTCCTCATTATTATCTTTTTTCTTTGATTTAGTTTTAACTGTCATTAGACATAAGTATATAAGTGGACATAGAGCCACTTGCATATAGGTCATCCACGATAATATAGTCCCAACAACATATGGAATTTCAGTTTCATTTAACGTCGAGATAAAAGCTTTCACTAAATATGGAATCCACAACGAGTCGAACATAATTGTTACAAATAAGAACTTTTTCGTCAAATGTTCATTCTTTACTGGCCTTGGCAGCCGAATACGACCTGCAATATGGGCTAGATTTTGTGGTATTGTTGGAATTTGATTCATGCCGTTTGTAAATCCATTGATCCAATTCATCATAAGATGTCCATTGGCACCTGGGCCAATAAATGCCCAATTATTACTACGTGCTGGAATATGTCTCTGTAATGGACACATTCTCCTGTGGTTTCTTAGAAATATAAATATTTTCACATATAATAAGATAGTACCAGTCATAACTCCAGTCATAACTAAAAGAAACCCTAATGTATCATTACCGCGGTAGGTGTGATGCCTAAAGGTACACTGCGATTCTTCTGGTATGTATTTGTATGTACCCATTCCAAAAACTGGCGGGAACGAAACAGCAAACGACACTAACCAACCAACAACTACAATAGCGAGATTCATAAACCCACGTGATCGTCTTTTGTGAAACTGTGTATGAACAATGGCAAGATGTCTGTCTACTGCAATAGCAAATAAAGCTACAACAGAACTGAATACAAAAAATGTATTTGCAAATGCCAAAAGCGTACATGAGGAATCCCCATGTTTCCATATAGATCCTTCCACAATAGAAGAAAGAACAAAAGGGAAACAAAAGATTGTCCTGGATAGATCGGAAACTGACAGACTAATCAAATAATAAAATGGTGGTCCATGAAATTGAGGCTTATTTCCTATAGAATATATGATTATAACATTACAAGTGATTCCGACGGCCATAATAACTGTCAGTATAATTAGTTTAGTTACCACAATAAATCCAGAGTCATGTTTGATAAAACTCGGTGATTTGTTCAACTCTATTTCAGTAAAATCTACAATTTCAGAGTTGATGTCAGACAGATTATATATGGTCGTTAGATTTGTGCTGGCTGCATAATTTAATGATCCGTTCATTGTGAGATTCTAGATTTGATCACAATAGATACTAGAACATCCGATTAAGATTAAGATGCCGTCTTGGATTTCGCAGATGATATCTAAAAAAAAAAAAAAAAGAACATCAGCTAAAACAAAATTTACAAATTACTAGCAATAATAACATATCCACTTAAATTCATAATAGAATTATAACGTCAATGCCAAAATTTAGACAAGTGCGAGGTCAATGATAAAAATATGTTGCCATGTAGATTGATAGGTTAAACAATTAATGTTTACATATTGATTATGGAAATGATAGTTTTAAATAATTTCCTCTAAATTTAGGATGTTTTTTTTTTCGTTGCCACATGCAATGACCGATATATATATATATTTTCGATTGTGTATTTCAAACAAAGTAAAACGCGGCTTTTTTTTACATATAAAGTTTTTGGTCGAAGGGTGTGCCAATGCTAAAAAAAGGAAATTTTTAACTATACATTTAAAAAAAAACTTGGCTTAACCCGAATAGCACGATACTTTAATTGAAGCCATATATGATTTGCTTATCTGACATTGTTTATTTTGGAAAATACTTTTGTGTTTTAGATTGGATAAGACATAGTTCAATAGTTAGGGACATTTTGGTCTTTGTGGACCTTCTCCTGTTAAAATATAGACCCAAATAACCGTTTATCGGATTATAATCCCAAATGAATATAAATAATCGTATTCTAAAATGATAACGAAATGTCACGGTTATTTGAAAATAATCTCAAACGACAAAAAAATAAAAGTCCCTCTTTGTAATTGTAAAAGAACAAGAAAGGGAAACTCGAACCCGTAAATTTTCCAATTATGAAGGTTACCACTGATGACTTGATGCATCGTCATGTTTAATATCGTATCAACTCAGCTTATAGTCAAGTGGAACATATCCGTAGTCATCTGTGAGACAGATATTCCGGCCATAACGGTCAACCCAATCAAAACTTTGAACCGCTCATTACGAGGACATCATCTATAAAGCGTAACTTGGAGTTAATTCATAATTCCAACGTCCTACCATTATTCACGAGAGGCTCTTAAATATGAAGTCTGCCTAAACGAATAAAGAGTAGGTGATGTATGATGCATAAAGACAAGGAAAAGTTGAAGAAAAAAAATATAGTTCTTAGCCACACTGTCACTAGGTGCAAAACAAAATATGTATATATCTCACTATCTGTTGCATCCTTCTCTTCAAGTTCAATTATAGATGCGATTTATATAGTCAATACACTTTTTTTCTTCATTCTGCATTTAACTTTTTCTTCAATAAATAAAACAACATGCAGATCACCTGCACTTGCTATTGGAGACGTAATCGAGTTATATTATAAAAAAAACTACTTATATTGCCCTTCGATTTCTTTGGGAAATAATACAGTATCAAACTGTGTCAGACCTGAACGAATATCGTTAAAAACAGCAAAACCTAACAAGTAGATTGATAGCGGGGATAATATACTTGTTAATGTCTTTTATCATGAGATAACTATCCATCTTTGCCTATTTATCTTTTCTCAATATAATCAGAGCAATGTGATAGTTCATCAGACTTATACCGTGCACAATAAGAACGTTTACTGGAGAAAATAAGTATACAGGAAATCCAGAGAAAAATGCTGATACGAGAAATATGTTGATACGATGGTCGAGAAATATGCTGATACGATGGTCGAGAACACTGCTGATACGATGGTCGAGAACAATGCTGATACGATGATCGAGAACAATGCTGATACGATGGTCGAGAACAATGCTGATACGATGGTCGAGAACAATGCTGATACGATGGTCGAGAACAATGCTGATACGATGGTCGAGAACAATGCTGATACGATGGTCTAGAACAAAACAAAATATAACTTGACCACGAGTGTTCTCGGAAAATGAAGATAAATTTGCAGACTTATTACTGAGCCCAATGATCACAGACTAAGTGATCAGATCAATGTAGTTTGTAAACTGGTCAGAAAAAGGTGACAACTAATAATAAAAGTAACAACTTACACAGATCAATGTAGTTTGTAAACTGATCAGAAAAAGGTGACAGCTAATAATAATAGTAACAACTTACACAGATAAATGTAGTTTGTAAACTGATCAGAAAAAGGTGACAGCTAATAATAATAGTAACAACTTACACAGATCAATGTAGTTTGTAAACTGATCAGAAAAAGGTGACAGCTAATAATAATAGTAACAACTTACACAGATCAATGTAGTTTGTAAACTGGTCAGAAAAAGGTGACAGCTAATAATAATAGTAACAACTTACACAGATCACTGTTGTTTGTAAACTGGTCAGAAAAAGGTGACAGCTAATAATAATAGTAACAACTACACCAAAAAATGATTAAGATTTCTATCGAGTTAACCGGATAATTATTTTCCCACTCTGAACAGACAAACAATAATATGCAAAACTGTTTAATTCAATAAAAGCAACAAATTGAATTTAGTTCATCTTCTTTCCTTATAATTAAAAACAAACAAAAGACAGTGTCAGCTAAATGATTTATTGTACAAATGGTGTACAATCTATCGGTTTCAAATTATTTTGCAGGAACACGATATTTGGTTTCAAGAACTGGTAATAAGATAATTTTAAGAAGAAATGGATGGCGTAAATATCATGAAAATATTTTAAACCACATGATTGTTTTGTGTCAACATATTGTTTTGCCATTATGATCATTATCTTCAAGGAACATGCAAAAAAAAATTCAATTAAAAAAAAAAGATGAACTCATGTGAATAATTTACGATTGGCTGTTAATATCTATGTAAGGTTTGAATTTCGTAAAATGTGTTAGAAAGATTATCGATGAACAACTCTGAAGAGTAGCTCTAAAAGTAGAGATATGGCCAGTAGCATTCATAGAGTCAAGATCAGAGAGTTAATGAAGTCTATTAAACAGACCACATTATATACCCTTAAGATAATGCATAGATTTTGAAAATATCAATTAAACCTGGGACATAATATATTATATTAGTATAATAGTCCCAGATTAAACCAAAATGTTAATCAATTGCTGTAAGGACAATTTTGACACAATTCAGCAAATTCTTCAATTTTTTGCATCGAAGGACAACCACAACCAACATTAATAATGTTTCAACTGATAAATATATATAGACAAGTCCCCGCTATTCCTCCGAACGAGTTTCAGATTTTTTTTTTTTTAACCAAAACCAAAACTGTATTGAATATAAATTTATATCGTTTTAAGATACAAATTATTAGATTTCAGTCGAAGCAAACTTTTTACAAAAACATGTAAATTTTGTTAAATTTTACCAAAATTGTCTAACAATTGGATATTATTTAATACAAATTTTAACAAATTGAAGTATGTTATACAGAATCTTGAATATTCAAATTACAGAAGAATTCACAATTTTCTGACAGAAACAAATTCAGGGGAATTTGGTTCGACCTTTTTGACAAAATATTGTCAACAACTTAAATGTTGATCCATCTTTAGGCACGAAAGCATTGACTAGTTGTTCAGAGACACGACCTCAAAGCAGACAGATGAAGATCTCGAACTGTAATGATTGAAAGATTTTTTCGTCAATGAAAAGAATTTAGGTAAATTGGACCTGCCTTTTTCATTCTAAATGGTTTCCCACTTTTTTATTACATTTCCAGTATTGTTACATTATTAAGCAAGCTCTTTTGCAACCTGACCATCTGATATATACATTTTTAATTTTAAATTAGTTAAATATCCTAGTAAAAATCAAAAACTTTGTTAGTAAATAAAACCCGCCCGTTGCTGGAACGATGCAATAATACATATTTTTTTCTATTTCGAAACTATGAAGTAACGATACTACACTCGCTAATACACCAAAACTAACTATAAAATTTATAAGAAATACAGACTTGCCGATACAGCGTGTCTATACAGTTATAGGAGAATATTAGCCTTTTTCATTGATTGACTTATTCTTGTCTACATAACCATATAAAACTCAAATTAACTGAACACTCAACTATGTCTCTAGAGGCTGAATAGATAACAGTAGCAATCAAACGAAATGTTAGGGAAAACAAATGAACTGCCTTCATATGGGGTATGCTCAACACTAAATGTTCAGAAAGACAAATGAACTACCTTCACGTGTACGCCCAACACTAAATGATCGGGAAAACAAATAAGCTACCTTCAACGGGTATGCTAAACACTATATGCCCAACACTAAATGTTCGGGAAAACAAATAGGCTACCTTAAACGGGTATGCTAAACACTTAATGCCCAACACTAAATGTTTGGGAAAACAAATAAGATACCTTCAACGGGTATGCTAAACACATAAAGCCCAACACTAAATGTTCGAGAAAACAAATAAGTTACCTTAATCGTGCATGTTAAACACTAAAGGCCCAACACTAAATGTTCAGGAAAACAAATAGGCTACCTTCATAGGTTATGCTCAACGCTAAATGCTCAACTCTAAATGTTCTTAAAAACAGTTAAGTTACCTACACCGGGTATGCTATTGCATTGTTGAAGGCCGCACGGTGACCTATAGTTGTTAAATTCTGTGTCATTTGGTCTCTTGTGAAGAGTTGTCTCATTTGCAATCATACCACATCTTCTTTTCTATAAACACTAAATGTTCGGAAAGACAAATGAACTACCTTCATCAGGTACGCTCCACACTAACTGTTGGGAAGACAAATAAGAAGAACCTTACTGAAACACAGAAGAACTTTAATAGAAAAGTTCAATCGTGTTTCACTGAAAACTTATAAAGCAAATGAAACATATTACATAAATTTAACATAAAAAATATGTTCGATTCATTTAGACAAATTATCTGAAATGAACAAATAGTACATGCATTTTATCAAATACATCACACAAACAAATCTGAAGAATGTTTTCTTCCTTTTTCTGCCTCGATGGCCTTACTTGCCTTTGTGTGGACAATAATACACAAATAAAACTTATTGCATTATTTGCAATTAAGA